ATATACTGGTAAGCTTGTGTGTCAAAAGTCATGCCATGATGGATGGATAGTAGATAGGGTAGTGTGCTCACAGGCCCTGGTACGGATGTTACCTTTGTTGTTTGGATTTATCTGCATGCACATTCTTATTGTTCTGGCTGAAGGTACTTTGGAAAAGGCAGCTAAATGTCAGCTGCCGCTGATCCATTTTTTTCTCATTAACCTGCAGTGCAAGAGCTATTGTTTTGTCTTGGGAACAATTCTTGTCGCTGAAAAACACAAAGCGGCATGTGTGCATAGCACAATGTTACAATTCTGCAGTGCACAATGTGAGAAATGCCGAAGATCAATGGGAATCCACAGCATTACATTTACTGCTGCAGAGCTGAAGAGTGAGTCATTCCTAATAGTGAGTCATGTGGCTTAAGCGTCACCAAGATTTGTGATGGGAATCAGTTATTTTCATCAAATTAGAGTCTTGTGAATGTTAGTGGATTGACATCAGAAATGTCTGTTATGGCAGGACGTTAGATAATGAGGTATGCTGCGCACCATTTGGGCTGTACTGTGCAGCATTTGGGGTGTAATATTCAGCGTTTGGGGTATAATATTCAGCGTTTGGGGTGTACTGTGCAGCGTTTGGGGTATAATATTCAGTGTTTGGGGTGTACTGCGCAGCATTTGGGGTGTAATATTCAGCGTTTGGGGTGTACTGTGCAGCATTTGGGGTGTAATATGCAGCGTTTGGGGTGTAATATTCAGTGTTTGGGGTGTACTGTGCAGCGTTTGGGGTATAATATTCAGCGTTTGGGCAAATTGACAGCATAGCACAGTGCAGGGAAAAGTAGTCTTGTGTCCTTGGGTGTGCTCTGGTATGGAGTAAATAAACAGCGTAAAAGTATTCACACGCACTGTGGCCTGTTACCTTCATGGACAATTAACCTGTGACACTGAATTTGCTTACGGAGGGAGAGGAGCGTCTGTGAGCTAATCAGCGCTAACAGAGGGGAAGATGTGTACTAACTGGAGCCATGGATTCAGGTGTGCTTGTTACAGTTCGATCACGGAAAGTAAGAACTCCTTTTTCCCATAAGTCTATTGATGCATGCATGTAGCTCTGAGATGGTCTGTGATGATAGTATTGACCAGCGGGATCAGATAATCAACCGCGGACTTCAGGGTTAACTGCCTCGGTTTTAAATGCTTGGTTTTAAATGCTTGGATTACTGCTGGGTTTTCATAGAAGTCACACAATGGTGCCTGACGGGTCCAAAATTACGACTGTGGTCAGCTTCCAGAGACTGGGGTATTTGGACCAGTCAGGTACAGGCTTCTTGGATGGCGTCCCAAGAGGGACAGCTGGGCAGATCTTCATTCCCAAAAGAAATTTTTGAGGGGAGGAACAGTGCTTGAAGACATTTTCAGAAGTGCCATATTTGGACATGTCTAAGTACTCTTGTTTGCGACAGATGCATGTATATACAGTTGTTACATGCAATTGAAGTAAAAGGGAATTACATCACCCACCTAAGAGTAAGATGTTTGTAAAGAGAAAATAGAGAAAAAAAGAAATTCTTTAGGATCCAGTATAAGTAATGATCTCCTGACATATTGAAAAACCCCTGAGAAGCAGAATTGCCAGCAGTAGTTTGGACAAATATGACTCAAGTTAATTGTTGGAAATTGTTGCATGTAATTGCTCAATTTAGCTGACAGAAGCTTAGTTTTACTGGCAAATGTGACGTTAAAAGTGCTTTAAAGTTACATAAAGATAATTGGCTTGAGTTTGAAGACACAGGGGGGTCATACTGCTTCTTTTTTTACTTGCTAAAGTTTCTCGAGAATACAGCTTATGTAGTGAAATTTCTGAGAGCTTGGCAAACGTGTCTTGCTACGCTTCTGAAATTTGATTAAACTAAAATTAAAAGTTAATTGTAATCAAGTATCGGTCATGTGACTTATCTATTGTCATATTATGAAAGATAATTATGATGATGTATTACAGTCTCATAATTGCCGCTCGCATGCACAGAAATTCCCCTGGGGATCTCATTTGAATGCGAAAAAAAAAAAAAAAACGGAAAACTGAAGCAAACATGGCGAGGTCAGAGATTAAGGGCATCCCTTCCCTGCTGGAGAGCTTCACTGAAACCAAACCACTTCTAATGTCTATGAAAGAGAATTACAAGCAGGCAGATGGATATGTGGCTGCTGAAATTGCATGGCACAGATTGGCTTTTCGTTTCTCCTCCCTCTTTCTTGGCTACAAGGATTAAGGGAAAATTACATCAAGAGCTTTCTTTAAGGTCAAGCCAGTCACACTTAAAAGATCTTCTCACATTGGGTCCATTGGAGGTTGTGAGCTGAAGCCTGTATTATATAAGGTGGCATTTGGTCAATTCAAAGTTTTGACTGAGAACAGCCTCACACACACACACACACACACACACACACACGCACCTGTAGGGTAAACATATCCTTATGGGGACCGCTCATTCATTTCAATGGGAAAAATGCTGACGTTAACTATGACAACCTTAACCCCTACCCTGCCCTAACCATAACCATAAGTAACCAAGCAAAATACAAGAGTTTTTGCATAAGGGGGAAAAAAAACAGGTATTCATCACGTTGTGGGGACATTGTGTCACCCGCTCACTCGCACACGCACATGCACACACACACACACACACGCTTTTTATGATTAAGAAAGCGAATTAAGGTGAAGGTACACAGACATAATGTGGAGTTTTCACCCCTCTAACTACCTTCCGTCCACCATTACTAGCATTCGCTGCTTTTCATTCGCACCTCCGCTTTCGCTGAGTCTGCAGAATGCATGACCCAGTGTTTTATTAGCCTGTCAGAGCAGTGTGAATCAATAGCTGTCCTCTCCCATTATTCCACAGACTCTTTATCCAGTGTCTTTCCCTGAGTCACACTTTATTTTAGCCTGATTTTACTTAACGTCTCAATGTGCAGCGTCTGTTAAACATCAACATAAAAAAATGAATAAATAAATGCCTGGCGTATGGATGGATATATACAAAACCAATTTTATATTCCCCTCTATGCCTTACTATCAGCTTCTTTCTGTTGCTTAATTTCTCAGGAAAACTTAAATTTCTCAACAACTGATTATGCAGCATGCATACACCTTGTGGGTTTGCAGCAAATCCCCTTGATTTTGTCTTGGTGACTCATTTAATCTGAGCAGATGGGCTGGAATCGGTTTTATTATCTCTTATCTTCCTAATGGCGTCTTCCGGAGATCACCGGCGGAGGATTTTCAAACACGCTGTATAAAACGTGACTGCCATACGTGGTCTCGCTTCCGTG